TCACTCACTCACTCACTCACTCACTCACTCACTCACACACACACACGCACACACTCACACACACATACTCACACGTACACACACTCACACACACATACTCACACGTACACACACACACACATACTCACACTTACACACACACGTACACACACCACCCACATACAGACAGAAGCAGCGGAACTTGCAGCCCAAGCTTCGAAGATTTAGAGATGTTGTAAAAGAGTAACATAGATCGACACAAAAAGGAGGCGAGACAAGGATGATTGATATCAGATAGGACAGACGGAGTAAACCACAACAGAGCACCCGCCAACCACCGGCAGAGGAAAAGAAGAGAAAAGTTCCAATCACTTCAACCACCCGCTCAATATTTTAATAGTTCAATAATAATAATAATTATTTCCCACCTTGAGTGAAAATATCCGATCAACAGATCGAACTCGGAGTGGCTTCGACTTACCTCTTCTTTTTCTTCTTATCTCTGTCGTTATCAGTTAAACCCTGGGCTTGAGCATTTAGCCGAGGACAGGGCTGGGAACATAGGACCTACCTTTGTTGACACAACGGTAAAGGAAGGGAAGGTCGACTGTTGAACGAACAAGTGATATTAGTATCCGGTTGTCAGGACCTTGAGGTATCTTCCCACAGAAGAAGGATAGAAACAGATGGCACAATTAATAATTGTTGAACTGGTGTTCAAAATAATAATATTATGATATCACCATGTACAAGTAGATTTATCTTCAAATAGAATAAGGATGGAAACAGATGGCACAGTAAGTTGTAGGGCTGTGTCCGTATAATACTACTATGTATCTTAACACCCAGAATAAGGATGGGGGACAGATGGTGCAATTAATTGTTGAACTGGTGTTTATAATAATCATATGATATCGGCATGTACATCTACCTTCCTGCAGAATAATGATGGAAAGAGATGGCTCAATTCTTGAACGTGTCCGTATAATATTATTATTTATCGTCCCACAGAATAAGTGGTAAGATAGACGGCGCAACTGTTGAGCTACTGATATTAGTATCCGTATGTGGGGTATCTTCACACAGAAAATAATAATAA